TGATATAAATACAGACACATCTGTGTTCGTTAGCAACATGCGGAGTAGCGTTACCGACGAAGATCTTAAAAAAATGTTTCCATCAGCGAAGAACATCAGCATACCCACGGATAGGAAAGGTGGATCCCGCTGTTTCGCTTACGTTGAGTTCGAAACGGAAACTGAAGTTACAGATGCTTTAGATAGAGATCGTGAGCTCCTACAAGGAAGACCGTTGTTTATATCTAAGTGTGTGCGAGAACAGTCACAACGTAGGACTGCCTTCAAATATTCCACACAGGGTGAAAATAACAAACTGTTTGTTCGCGGTCTTCCGAAAAAATTAACTCAAGAAGATGTCGAAAATATCTTCAAACCGTACGAATGTACGGCAGTAAGGCTTGTGTCTCTAAAAAGTGGACAATCTAAAGGTTTGGCGTACATCGATTTTAAGGACAAAGCTGCGGCCGAGGAGGCCTTAAAAGCGACTGATCAAATGGATATAGATGGGTTTGTAATTACTGTCGCGATAAGTGCGCCACCACAAAAGAGGCAATACGACGAGTCCGACTTGTTGATTCCCACTCGTCATGCGCGAAGCCGGATACAACTACCCCTTGTTCCACGTTCTGTGCAAACGAAACAAACTGACAGCGTTGCTCAGGGGACTTCGAAAAGTAATGAAGATTTCAGGAAGATGCTTTTGAATAAAAATTAATTCTTTTATGATTTTAAGGGCGTGTCCTAACATTTATTTAATGTTTGTATTAGTTTTGATACGTTTGAGTTGGTAAGATAAGGTTCTCCTTTTTTCCATTTGTTCCAGCGTTAAATTAAACTGTTTTGTATGTAAAGATAGTATATAATAAAGTTGTTTTAAGGCAAGGATTACGAAATTATTTGACAGTTTTGTAAACTCGAATAGTTTCTATACTATCGTGATATTACAAAACAAGTGGTAAAACCTTCGTATATTTTTCTCACATGACAGTAACACTTACCTTTGACCTGATCTACAAGTTTCAGTAATGATTTTTATACCAGTTGGTCAGCCCTTATACAGGGTGGTGACTTGCGTAACGCATCATAGGGATTTCAACGTAAAATTCATAACATGCGATTATTCGCTCCCCAAATTATTTTAGGGCAAAAATGTATTTAGGTTTTTTGTAGATAAAAATTTGTTACGTCAATCAACCATATTAGTTTTCAATTTTGTGCATAATAAAGACGGAAAATTGGAAAAATAAAACCCCCATCTTTTTCAATAATCTGTGATGCCATGGAATTTTCTAATACAAAAACTACGCCAATATCCGTCATGCCTGTGGTCTGCTATAAAACAAATCAAATTCTATCAAAAAGTATTATATTTAGAACAGCGAATTCAACATAAAGAAAGACCAAATTACTAAAAACAATAAATGTTGGAATAAGTCACCATTAACTGCAAGACAGTAACCAAGTCGATCATAAAATCCATTTCGAACTGCTGCTAATTGATAACTGGATATCTTTTTGTTTTAGAAAATTCCATGGCATCGCAGATTATTGAAAAAGATGCGAGTTTTATTTTTCCAATTTTCAGTCTTTATATAAAAAAAATTGAAACCTAATACGGTTGAGTGCCATAAAAAAATGTTGTCTACAGAAAACTTTAATACATTTTTGCTCTAAAATAATTTGGGGAGCCAATAATCGCATGTTATGAATTTTACATTGAAATCCCTATGATGCGTTACGCAAGTCACCACCCTGTATATATGATAATGTACCCCTATGGTTAGCCAACACAGCTTTACGTCTGAAACAAAAATGCGACACGCTCTGTATATAATCAAGTGCGTTGCTTTTTCGAATTCGACCGTTTTGTGCAGATGCCGAATCATAAGAAAGGTTAATATTTTGGTGAACGCAAAAAATGGCAATGAGGGGGGCATCACGCATTCCCGGGTTTTTCTGATTGATTATTTTGTTTGTTGTGTTTTGGAGGTGTATTTACAGGTAGGGACCATTTTATTCCTTCTTGTACTAACTATTAATCATTGAATTTCATGTCACAATTTGTTATTATTTACATTTTGCATAAAATACCGATATTTAAACATTACATACTTTTGTTTATGTACTGTTATCTGAATCGTTTGCTTGTTATACTGTAGGTACAGGTGATTATGCCATTATTTTGTTTTATTACGTATTTTTGATATACTCACGTGTTAGTGAATTATCAGTATGATGTCGCCTGGATGCTAGATCTAACAATTTATCTCCGTGGAAAAAGGAACCGCATGTAGCCGAACTTGTCGCTGTATCTGTTGCCTACTTACCTCGTGGGGATTGCAGAACTTGTATCTTAGCAATACGAGAAATTAAGAGGCCCTCTAATTAAAATTTGCTCTATTTAAAATATGTTTCGCTTGAGCAATAATCGACTTTCACATATTTGCTATTGGCATTCTCACATGTACTTTTTGTGTTAAATTAATTTGTTAACTGAAGCTGGAGTAGAGCCTTAGATCATGTATGTATGATCTAAGAGTAGAACCACGCCATCTTGCTGTTTCCTATGTACATGCAATTTATCATTTAGATGCATTTGTAATAATTATAAACGTGGAAATTATCGAATTGTTTGATGTGTGTATGTGTACGGACTTGTTTGTAAACTAACATTTTCATCTTGAAGGGACGGTCACGGGGGTGGCAAAACCTAGGGCAAAACTGTAACCAAATGAGTCACTTACGACACTCAATAGCAGGGCTGACCTCGACAATCAACTGTACGCTTGCAACCCCGAACGAGGGCGAGTTATCTATCTCGGGGGCGCGATTCTGATAATAAAAACTCTTCGGTTTAGAATCTATGTGTACGAGTCACGATTCACTTAGGCCCTGCCTTAGATGTTTGATCACAATCATGCCACTTTTTGGTTTCAAATTTAAGCGGGGTCTGAATTTTGGAGGGAACAGTCATTCGGGTCAGGAGTGCTCATTTTTTAACGTTGCCGGGTTGACTTTATTTCCGTGTTCATGTTGTGTGAAGTTTCTCTTGCATTTTGTGGCCGTAGTTGATTCATTTCATACACAGCGTGTACCTAGGTATCATTTATTATTGGAAGGCATATTAGATGGCGCTGTGTTTGAAGAAAAGCGCAAAAGAAATAAATCATTTCGCTTCGCTTCAATCTTTGACATTAATAGCTAATGACAGTTCAGTTGGCAACAGAAACCGTCACTCGTTTTTTAACGGAAATGCTTGTTTTGTTAGGGGTATGAAGGTACCAGTTTTCGTTGAGGAAAGAAAAACGGTAAGTACTTACTTAACAGTGCACAAGGGTTTTGTTAATTCGAATCTAACATTTCGCGCATCTCCCGTGATAGTATTACAAGAATGTTAAGACGCTTTATTATTCAGAAAGTTTACATTTGCGATACAAGCGATTCCGGGTGAATAAGGGTTATTTGTGTATTACATAATGGCGTTATATGGTTATCATTTCTAATGTCTCCGATGGTTGCATGGATTATGAAATCTGTGAATTTTTTTGTCAGCGGAACACTCGCTTGTGTTTAATCAAAGTCAAAGCTTCCCGCTATCCTATCCTCTTAAAACAAATATAGTTTAATATTATGAGAGGAAAAGAGAGTGAAGAAAATTTAGTTAATTTGGTTTACACCCAAAACATGGCCGCCTACAGTTTATGGGCGTCATATCATATACAGTGGCACCACGCTCAGAAAGTCCCTGACAGGGCGTGTCCGAAGACGCTAGAAATTTAAAACGTACATTCTGATGCAAAATTTAAAGACACTTTAAGGGAATTACATACCATATCAGATTGTAGATCCAAGCTATATGCGCCTTGAAAAAGAAGAGTGTGTATAAAACTGGAGACGGAAAACGTAAAATAAAGCAAATACAAGAAGCAAAGTGTAAACTAAAATAACGTGAAGCGTCAACTGTTAAAACGGAATAATTAATAATTATGGCGAGGAATGTATCGCGTCGTTTTGCAGATGTTCTATTGGCCAGCCTGAATTATTTCAAAATTAGTTCGCATATTTTCCGGGGCTTTTCTGAGCATGGTGGCACTGTACCTAAACATTAGATATATGATTGACGTGAGGTTTGTAATGTTCCTAGGGGTCTCTCAAGGCGACACTGAAAATATTGACATACCCTATACTTACCGTTGGCAACTTTGGGAAAAAAACTTGAAAAAACTCATATATATGAAAAAACCTTAGATCATGGTCTAAGGAAAAAACTACTAGCAGAGCCACCTACATTTCAAGTCAAAACGATTGCGGCACTTTTGAATTTCGGGAGCAGTCGGTTCAATGTGGATGTCATTAAGCAAATTCATAAAAACAAAACACACAAGACATCATAAATGCAGTGGAAAACATGATAAATGAATTTAGTACAAAAACCTATTAAAATACATGGACGACCAATTCAGATAAAACAACTCGTAAAATAATAAATTGCATGTACATGGGAAACATCAAAATGGTGTGGCTCTACTCCTGGCTCCGTTAACATAAATTAATTTAACACAAAAAGTACATATGTGAGAATTCCAATGGCAAGTCCAAGTATTCATGTGAAAGTCGAATATTATCGCTCAATCAAAACATATTTTAAATAGAGGAAATGTTAATTAGTGGACCCCTTCTCATTTAGCGAGACACAAGAACTGCATCCTGCATGAATAAGAGAGCAACATATACATAAAAACTGCAGCGCGCCACGAATAAGAAAGTAAACAGATACAGCAAATCATCAGACTGTATTAGGTACTTCCTCAATCGAGCAACATCACACTGATAATCAACTCTCTCTCTCTCTCTGTTCACTGTTCACTGTTTGATAGGATAGGATCCTTTTAGTATATTCAATATTTTTTTAAAGTGTAAGCTGCAATACAAACTCCCTAATAACTATTTCTCCAGTTTGGGTAAGATTATAAACGTTTCAAAATAAGAGCATAGCATAAATCAATCACTACATTAAATGAACAGTTATGAAATATTTATATTTATTATGAGTAACAATGCTACAATAAATTAGCAATAGTAAATGTTTAAGATCATCATGGCAGAATTGAGGACGGATCATACATTCGATAATCACCAAGCAACTCCTACAATATTACACAGTAGGATGAATTGTTGTATAAGCTTTAGTTCTTTTTGTACATTTATATAAGCCACATAAAATAAAAACAATGCAAAAGATTCCATAAATTTTTAACTGGAAAAACCGGGAAGGAGACCAAAGGACTGTATACTGCAGTGACGCCTTGTCTGAAAATACAGAAGTACAAGTTAGTATCATTGTTTTACTTATATCTCAATAATATCAATCAAAATATTTGAAAATATTAAAGGCGACGGGAGAAATGCTATGGAGTCTTGTTTACATGTCTCGCTCTTGGTGCTATTCATTTGGAGACATGTCTTCGAGAAGATTCATGCAGCGACAACAAAGGGACAAACTACCAAGGGTGCTTTTAAATTATAAACATTCTCTCGGGCAGTGTCAGATCGCCCCTGACAGATGAGGAAAAAAGTGATTAAATTTTGGGCTTAGAGGGTTAGCATTCTGAGGCGGGGCAGCACCAAATACATACTTGTGCTACTTCCTCATAAGTTTACGTGAGTTTATTTAAATTGAACCATTATAACAACAAATGACGAATTGATAAACACTCCAAATTTTATTATAATCGGCTCCACCGATTTTGAGATATCAACCTTTAAAGTGAGTGGGCTGTACTTTATATTCCTTCATACAATAATACAATACCAAAATTCTCTTTATGAGGTCTACTATCTTACCTACAACTGCAAACCCATAGCCAATATTAAAAGTACCCATTCTGTAAGAACATGTAGGTACAATAATTTCAAATAAATCGCCCGTATTTAAGTTGTAAACATGGATGTCGTCATCGGGATTGATTGGAGTTATAGCTCGGTTGTGTCGTGACTTCTGACGAGTAGTAATTACCATTGAGTTATGAGTATGGGCCGCAAACAGAAATTTTGGATGAGTCGCATCTAAAACCTTTCCTTCAATTAAAATTGGCTACATTAAATGCAGCCTTACTTTATCTACAAAAGAAGACAAACTTGACAATAATGGAACATGACTTAGCACAATGTTGAAATTCGTTATGTTTGCCAATTCTGGCATAATCGGCAATTTATATTGAAAAGTATTGGCCTTAACACATGTGACGTCTCGGTAAGTGATTACATCAGGTTGCGAAAAAGCCTTTGTAAACCGTTGTATTTTATGATATGTGACATAATCAGGATATTCTCCTCCTATATCGTTATCGCCGGCAATCCATATCTACAATCGTATAATGTTTAAGTAATAAACAAAGGGTTGTTACTCACATTCAAAACATTTTCTTGATTTTCAAAAATGTTATAAAAGCGATCAACATATAAGTTGAATTCTTTGTCATCTGCAGTTGAGCCTTCGTCCAGTAAATCGCCAAGGAATATCACAACATCAGGATCTATAAAACGGTATGCTTGCCAAAATGTTTTGGACAAGTATCTAAAGCACTGTCTCTAGAATTTGCTAAAAGTATGCCAGGCACTTACCTATCACTATCCCATATTGCTATCGAGGTTAGTTGGGGAACAACTTCATTATGCAAACCAATTAGTTGAGGGTCTGCAACTATCAGCATCCTTGTACATTTATTTCTATCATAACACTGTATGTCATGCCAATAAAACACCATGCAGTAATATGTTACAACTTCTATAATAAATACTAATAAAAATATTGCGTAGACATAATATATTGATGGATTCCGATTCCTCACTACACTAAATAAATATTTCGCACATTTCTTTAAACGTAACAGTAAAAGGGGCACCAAATGTACCATCTTGACTAACATTCAGTGCCATTATATGGCACACTTACTGTTTGTTATAATATTAAACTAACGCATTGTTCATGAGCAATTGCTTGAGCATAAATTAGTCTGAGCATAATATTTTTATTAATTATTATTAATGAGGTTATGTTGACTTCATCACTTCAAATACGGATGTTTTGCCTACCTTGATACATTTGACCAACCGTGATATACTAGATCTACCATAAAGACCAAATCGTAGTAGTAATGTGTTGGGTGCTCACTGCTCAGAGTAAAAAGAAAGATAGAGATGCTTTGACGTGCCATCATCTCGTCGTGTTTGTAAACATTGCAGGAAGCGAACTTGTCACATTTCGTGAGACGATTTTAATAATATTTGAAAGGATCTAAATGGATTTTTAAATATTTATAAGAGTTGTGAAACACAAACAATTGTAAGTTGAAATTAAACAGCTTAATAAAAAAATTTATGATAATTAGTGTCACGACGGCAACGCTGTAGCGATTTGTCAGATGACGATGTAGAATTTTAAAAAATGAGGTTGCAAAGTGTGCGACTGCCAGCTTCGTAATCTTCTACACCTCAACTCGTGTCACTTATGCAGGTGCAGTTACACCCTAATAAATCGTTCCCTGAAACTGATATATTTTCTTGACAAAAATGCTACTTGCTTCAAAAGTACCGTATATTCTACGCCGTTGTTATACTTGGACAAAAATTACTCTTTCTAAATTAATAAATCTAATTAGTTAGCAATACTCAATAAGTTTTTATGATAGGTTCTCCTCTTAAATACCTCGGGTCGGACCCCACGTTGTTGCTAGTTCATGCGTTTTTTTAAACTTTGTTTGTTTATTACTAATAATTCATTTTTTACGTTTGGCATCTTGTCTTGAATGGCGGTCGTGAACGAGTCGCTCCATAAATGTGGTTATTTTCTGATATAATGTAGGTAGTAATCTTTATATTTCTTTATATCGTATTTATGTTTTGTATGCCACATTTTATATTTTTTGTGTGTTTGAATCTTTGTTTTTGAAATTTACTTCGTTTAATCGCAATGCATAATCACATATGTGATACCGTTAAACTATTGTTTGTAATTGTTTACGTTTTCGGTGTAATACTTGCTTAACTTATGTTTATTGATGTTGATTACTGGGTCTTGTCCCTGAAGTAACATTCATATAAGTTTTGATCATTTTATTTTAATATGTGGAAATTACGATTACCGATTCGTTTGATGTATGTACTGACTTGTTGTTTGTAACTAACCATTTTCTCCGTGAATGAAGCAGTCACGGGGGTGGTAAAAACTGTAGTCAAAATTGAGCTACGACACCTAATTCCGTGATTGTCTGCGACATTCAACTGTAGGCTCGAAAGGGGGCGAGATTATGCTAACCAAAGCTCTTCAGTTTAGAATCTATGTGCGATTAATGAGTTACGATTCGTAATTTCCACATTTCTAGCTAAATTTCCCTACAAGGCCATGTAATTTTCCCTCTTGCTTTTAACAAAAGGACTTTATTACACCAAAGATGAGTCACATCCTGTGTATTTCACCCCTTCTTAGAATCTTGGTACCTGCTTACCTGACCTATAATTCCCAAAACTTGTTTTTACCTATATGTTACCTCTTGAAGTTTACCTGCTACTTTTTGTGATGTTATAATTTTATGTTAGGCATTCACATCATTACAAACAATTAATTTTACAACACAATTTGATATTAATTTGACGGCTGGTTTTTCTATTGGTAAGTTCTTTTTTTCCTACGAGTAAAAAATAAGAGGAGAGAATATAACGGTGGTGGGAAATAGCATAACACGCGACGGAAGTCGTCAAAATATCACTTCCTTTGCGCTGGTC